CCCCTTTGTCTGATATTTGCTCTTTCATAGCAATACTTGAGATCAGTGGTGGAAGGGGTGTAATTACCAGCCCTGAAAATCTGGCACAGGATAAAATCTTCCAGGCATCACTAATAAGAACATCAGCCAAAGCAGTCTCCTGTTTTCCTAGCACATTTACCTACTGCCCTCAGATGGCAGTTTTGTAATGTGTGGCCCTATTGCTGTGCATCCAGAGATGTGCACAAGAATCTGCTTTGGGCTTTCAGCCAAGAGCCTGAAATGTCTAAGGTACTGACGTCCGGTTTAGACACTGCCAGAATTTTCAAAGCTGCCACTGAATTACTCCTTAATCCTGGAGGTGCTTGAAGTTTTACTCATTAAAATTTGCAAAGCCTGCCTTACAGCTTATTAGCTGCTTCGAATCTTATCTCAAGGTGAGGCCCCAGGTGTGGTACACAAAGTAGGGAAGGGAATGCCTTTCTTGCCTGAGGGCCTAAACCCTGAGGGATGTGTAAAGCTTGTTCAGAAGGGGTAGATGCAGGCCCCTGACATGTGGAAGGCATTTAAGGGTTTACAAAAAGGAGAGGAGGCGGTGGGGGCGGGGGGAGAGAGAGAGAGAGAGAGAGAGAGAGAGAGAGAGAGAGAGAGAGAGAGAGAGAGAGAGAGAGATTGAGATTGAGAGAGAGAGAGAGAGATTGAAAGAAAGAGTGAAATGTCAAATATGAAACAGAACCCTGCAAGAGTTGCTGCAGGTTGCCAAAGAAGGGGCTACCTAAAATGTTAACCAGGCATTGGGTGTCCAGCCTCTGAAGAAGGCTGACTGCTGGGATCTAAACAAGAGAGTCATCTCTCTGATCAGATGTATCAGGAAATACTTCAGTGCCTCAGCCCCTAATCTTCTCTCCTCTGTCTGGTATTTTAATCTTCATTAGTTTAGGTGGCTACTCAGTTACCCAATTGTGTGTCCTGAGCTTGGGGCAGAAAATTCAAGGGCAGCACTGCAACTGGAATAGTAAAACCAAGTACTTCCCAGAAGCCTCATCACTGCCTTCTGATTGCTGTCCCACCCGCATCGCAACTTGCTTCCAAATCTAGCTCCAGCTGCTACCTGGTAGGGTTCCTGCTAGTCGCACAGTTATAACTAGCACTTCATGGCAACAGTTTATTTTCCTCTCTTGGGGGGTCAGGTCACCAACGGTCGTCTTCCAGTAAGTGAATCAGAGTTCTGCATTTTTGCAGTGTATTCCCTACTCGTCCTTCCCCCAATACAGTTGTAGCAGTGCTGCTGCTCTCTGCCTGAGCTGGGCAAAGAGGCTGTGGAATAGGTGGATGTGCTAAAAAGCACCAATAACAAATACTGGCAAAGCAGGTGCAGTTTGCATACCTACATTTGTTACAGCAGAGAAACTAGTTATTGTTAGTTAAATTCTAAGATTACATTCAGTTAGTTATAAAAAAAAATGTCAAAGTCTGACAATTGAAAATTGAATTGCTACCTTTTTATTTTTTTTTAATTAGCAGAGGAGGAAGGCAGGCAAAATAGAAGGGTTTAGATCCATGGCTAAGTTCCCCTGTTTGCCAACAGGAACCATAACAGTGTTATAACTTGTGTTTCACGCAACACGTATCTCAGGTTCTAATAGATGTACAATACCTTATCCCCTGAATCAGTAAAAGAAACAGGCAAGCACTAACTACAAGTAATTTTGTTCCATTTAATTCTCTTCTAAAAATGTATCACAAAGTTCAGGAGCTTATCTTGCTAACATGAAACTTGTCAACTCCCCTTTTAACTGACTCCAGCCCTATGGCTTGGAAGCTTGTGAGGGCTGTGGGGAATAGACCCGGGCAGATTTCTCAGGAAATCTTGTGTATTTGTGGGGAGGGCAGTGTGCAATGATTGTGGTCTCACTGTAGCTTTTTGCAGCTATTTCCAATGTCACAGTGACCTGCAGTTATTTGAAAAGGAAATTTCCAGCTGCAAGTATCTTTAATTTGCAGCTCTTACCTACTCACTGGAAGAAGCCTGCTGGCACCGGTATGCATCCCTATGAAAGTTGTGTGAATGCTTTCTTATATTTTTAAATAGTCGGTTTACATGACACTTTCTGATTTCATGATGATTACACAGGAACTCTAGTTAGGTTTGCCTTTCACAGCTAATCAGTGACACTAAAACAATTTTTATACTTAAGCAATGAGATGCGTAGAGTGGAACTAGAGATGAGTCAGCAGTTAGCTAAGGTTATTTGAATAGCAATATAAAACATGCCTGCCGCTAGGAAACAGTCCACAAAGGTCATACCAAGTGCCTCGTATTTAGACATTACCACCCTGGAGATATGAATTCACTTAAAGACTCTCACGTTTTTTAGACCAAGCATCATTCTGTTTGACATTTGGATGCTGTAGTATTAAATACCAGCTACTTGGTATCTGGATGACAGGGAAAAATGCTTGACGTCATTGGGACTATTCACAGTGAGGCATGCCTGCCAGATTGACAGATGCTGCTCTCTCCCCATCCAGGGGAGTTAGGCACTGAAATTAGTAACTACTAAAACAAGCATACTGAGTAAGTATCTGCGGAATCTCATCAAGAAGAACTATTGAAAAGAAGGTAAGGCGTCACCAGTGCTCTTCCTACAGGAGTTGGGGCTGTAATTCAAAGGCACAAAACGGCTGCCCTGGGTACAGAGAGCGCAGAGTCGCTCAAGGATAATCAGGTGCTGAGCCACAGCAGCTGAGAGCGCACAGCGTTACAGCAGAGTGAGGGCAGTGACAACCTTTACAAGTTATTACCTACACTGATGGGGTGTGTGGGGGGGTGTCAGGCCAGATACAGGATGTGCAAGACAGTTCCCTGGTGAGACACTGCTTCTCACAAACAGTCCTGGAGAGGAAAACGTTTACAAACAGTCCTGGAGAGGAAATGGTTTATCAGCTAAAACTCAAGTAGGGTTCAGCTCTGTTGCCTCCACAACCACAGGAAACAAGCCTACCAGCCCCACTGGTGAATCATAGCTTTTGGGAACTTCCCTGTGAAGAGCAGGAAAGAGTTTTTCTTCAGGTAGAATTGATCTCTTTAATCCTTTCATGCTGGGATCGCTGCCTAAGCGCCTTCATTTGCTAAAACAGGGAAAAAAAAAAAAAAAAAAAAAAAAAAAAAAAAAAAAAAGCACAGTAAGAAACACAGCTGCTTGTGCTGGTTCCACCCTCCCTTATTCAATTGTTGGGTGGTTTAACATTCAGCCTGAATGTTGCAGACCTACTTTTAATTCTCTGTTCTAGCTGAGAGGATTCAAGGCTACATTGTTCCAGTCCTCCACTCAAGTGACCTAGCTACAAAACAACTGAATTAATAATAAAAAAAAATAAAAGGAGAAAGACATCCCACCATCAACACCTCTGTGTTCTGCTGACCCACTTCAGTGAGAACACTCAGAGATTCTGCGTGGCTCTTACTGAGACTGATTTTGCCAGGACTGAGAACCACAATTAGTCTATCAAACCAGTGCTACTGGTTCCAGACAGGCACAGACTTTAAGGCACCTTTTGCATCAGAGGTGAGCTGGGGTTTAAAATTTCTTTGCGAGAGAAATCCCAGTTCTCCGAATTACTCACCAAAAGTCTGTTTTTATCAGTCTCTCTGACGAGTTTTTATGAGAGCATTACATTCCATTAAACTTGAGAGAGTAAAACAAAGATTCTCCCGAAGGCAAGGCTAAGAACAATAGCATTAGTGAATTACAGTTTGTCATCACAAGACCAAATGGCATATAGGCGCTGCTAAACAGCAACGTGGCCCTGGCCCAGAAGCAAGAACTGGGGCTTAACAATTGGCGTTTATTGCTACAGATAAATACCAGCTGCTTCACTCCAAGCCTCAACAGTTTAGTTTATATCACGGCTTTTAGTCTTTCATATGTAAACAAAGTTAGTAAGTTTGAATTTGGGGTAGCTTTTCAAAGCTAATCTTAGAAAACAAGAGCGCTTACTGAGATACTGAGGAATTAAATGCATGAGCAGTGTCTCTGGTTTGAGTTACAAGGAAGGCTTTAAGTCCTTCGGAAGCCCCGTCTTTTTCAAACATACACCACACGTGCATACGTGACTAACAACGGCTCGCAGATACCTCTTTTTACTCTCTTCGGTAATGGATGAATTGGATTAAAGAGCTGAAATTCAGGGCGTGCAAAAGCTGCGATTTGAAAAATCCTGACAGCATTAGTGCTTGTCGCGGTAGGAGCGGAGCTTCTGTGGAAACTGACCGGATTTTCCTCTGTATGCTGCACCAAATGAGCTCTTCGGGGCTCAAAACAACAACAAAGGGGGAGAAAAATAAATAATAAAAAAAAGAAGCGGTGTGAGCCGTTTGCCCTTCCGCCGAGTCTGTGCTCGGAGCTGTGATGCCACCTACCGCTGGCTGCGGGCGCCGGCCCCGGCCCCCCCAGCCCCGGCCCCCCCCGGCCCCCCCGAGCCCCCGGCCCCCCCCGAGTCCCCGGCCCCCCCGGGCCCCCCAGCCCCGGCCCCCCCCAGCCCCGGCCCCCCCGGCGGGAGGCTGCGCTCAGCGGGGGCTGACGGGCCCCCGCCCGCCTCCTGCAGCCACCGCACAACTGGTTTCACCGACAGGTTACCAAAGGTATTTCCCGAGTTTTTCTCTGCCCCCTCTAAACGTAAACATCTTCAGCAAAAAGGCAGCAGCTGAGAGAAAACTTGTTGAAGCGTTTGGATTTCTCCTTCTGTCTTCTCTGAAAGCGTTTTGAGTCCCCTTCCCTCTCTGTTCTTCAGCATTTTCCTTACTCCTCTGAGAAGCCCACCGTTAGTTAGCATCCTCTCATCCTTTACACGTTCCCACTGTTCCCACTCTTTGCAAAGCTAACCGGGACTGAGGCAGAGCAGAAGCTTCAGTTTTTTCTTAACAGGTACAAGAGAACGATTTTAACGGCATTATCCTCAAGAGACATCGGTCCTGGTAGGTTATTCAAGAAAGAACGGTCTATTTCTAAAACAAATAATCGCTGTCATCTAATGAAATTTATTAAAAGTTCAGTTCATAATAGCAGCTTACCAAGAAACAGCAAAACGCTCTCAGCCAAACGACATTTAATTTTGTAACCTAAATTCTTAAGGGATTACAGTGTAATTCCAGGAAGTGACAGAAGCAGCTCTGATTACCCTTTCTCTCAGGACCAAAAAAGCCAGAACCACAAGTGTTCAGATTATGACAAAATTGCTTCAGAGTTCCTCAGCAAACCTGCTATGCGTTCCATACCACGAGAACTAGACAATATGATCATGAAAAATGGAACAAAAAGGAATGTCTCCTTCTCACACACCCAAAGCACCACTCTCAGCAGATGCTCTTAAAAACATATTGTATAGTTTCATTTGGAAAGTAAGAATAACATTTCCTGATAGAAAACAAAAAGTACAGAGACATCACACCTTCCGTCTTCAGCCAGCCCCATTCTCACTGTGCTTTGAAAAAAGACGGGAAAAGAAAGAAAAAAAATAAATGGTGCAATGAAATGTAATGAATTCTATATTGTCAGTCCTGCAGACCCAGTAAGAGGCATCCGTCACGCATTCTACTCACACACGGTATCTTTTTTTAAGAGAACACTAGGACTGACCATATAAGTTTTTAAAAAGCAGTATTAATATTGTACTCAGTGTCAAGAAATGGAGACACTAAGGTGGTAAAATACCCCCTCAATTACATCCTTAAGATTTAAAATGTTTAATGTGCAAGTCTTGGACAGAAATCTTTAATTTACAATGTACTGAAATTGGAAGGATGGGAATTTCTTCATTGTATATGCTCACAGTAGTAAGTGAAATACTCAGTTGCTGAAGTACAAACATCAGTATTCTTAAGTGACTTATGCTTCATTTTTAAGGCAAAAATAGGTGACAACACGACTGCATACAGCTACAAAAATATCTGCTGATATGATTAAACAGTCTACTTCTAGCATGAAAACTTTAATGCTGTACTTAACATAGCAGTGTTTTATTTGAAAAGTTACCATTAAAAATGTAAAATTAACCTATCTAGGATGAGTAGCACTGACATATTTACCTGGGCCTCCACTCTCACTGATCTTTGTTCCTAAACCCCTGCCACTGTAAGCTGTCCTCTCTCCCTGTCCATTTCCAGTCTTTCTACAAAGGTGCAGGTGTGCCTGAGCAGCCCCAGAGTCCACACAGGAAGAAGCTGGAATGCTAAAAAGGTATGCAAAAGGTCCCAACAAGGAAAAAAGAAAAAAACAGATCCTGAGAAATAAAATTAAGGGGGGGGGAAGCAGCTATCTGCAGGTATCCAGGGTTTTCCTCAGTCATCCTTGTCTTTTGCTCCATGTTTCAGGATGCGTGTGAATTCGATGTAGTTGAAATTGCCCTTTTTGTCGATGGGTGCCTCTCTGTACAGCTCATCTACCTCTTCATCTGTGAACCTGTCTCCCATTGTGGTCAGCAGCTCTCGCAGGTAGTCTTCCTGGATGAACCCTAGAATGAGACGTATGGAGAAAAACACAAAAGGGAAGCCATTTCTTAGCCGAGTCTTGAAAAGCAGTAAGGCAGACATACCGACAGATGTGCAGTTAACTAATACAGTGTGTAACATATGCATTTGCACCGAGAGCCCAAAATATTAATTGAATTTTAAAGAAATTCTTCGAATGCAAAGGGGAAGGGGAGACAAGTCTGACGCATTTCATACAGATTTTTGAAAAGAGGGCCTGATCTGCTGTGATCTAACGACACCTATTTCCATCTACTGATCTTCAACAGCTCAAACTGGAAAAACGAGTTGCTGTCACTGCTGGTCTTCATTACACAAGCTGTTCTCTGAATTGAATTATATTTTTCTTGACTTAATTAGATATATCTGCGCGTCCTCTATAAACTAGTTTCCTCTGGGGACTAAATAACCACTGGCTGGCTCTCCACTGCTGCACAGTGCTGTTGCTGGAGGCGGTTTACGTGGATACAGTGAACTGCTGGCAAGCGTCCAGGGAAAGAGTTTATAACAGAAGAGACTTTCAGACAGGATTGAGCAAGTTAACTCAGGAGGAAGAGTGTTTACTGTGGAAAGGCAGAGGTGGAGAAGCCAGTCAAAAAAAGGTAGGATATATTAAGTTATTTATTTTATGCTAAAATACTAGCAGAAGAATTTGGAGGAAATTAACAAAGATATAAAAATGAGCATTTGCTAAGTATGTTCTGTTAATTCAGTTTCAATAGATGGGCAGAACCACAAGTTGCCAAATAATTCCAGGAAAGGTCAGAGATGAAAAAAGCAATGCGCATAACAAATGGTAGACAGAAGAATGCAGAAACTGCTTAACATTGAAATAAGACCCACCATGCCTTTAAATGCACAATAGTTGCTTCATTTGAGAAAGAAACTGGTTATTGAACTTTAGTTGGAGAAATATCAGTAACAGAACAGAGGAAGAAGTGTGTTCCACCCCCCCGAAAAGATCTGTAAACTGTGCAGAACAGCTGGAAATCGTGTAGACACCCACATCAACTGATGTAGATTCAATTAGGATATGATAAAAAAAAAAAATCTGCTTTGGAAAGAGAGCTGAATAACTTAAGTAAACAGAGTTCATTAGAGAGACAAAAGCAAACAGGGAATCAGGGGACCAAAAAGCAGTCAATGAGCATGACAAATTATCATGGGGTTGGTGTATGCTGCAGGGAAGGGAAAAAAAAACAAACATGTTTCAACATATGCTAATTAAAACAGCATTCATATCCCAGTGTAGACAAGCCCTTGACTACTGACTCCAATGAAGAAGGCTAACAGCAATGTTCTACTTTAAAAATGGGAAGAATGTTCAGTTAGCCAGGCCCATCTTAATTGGGTCAAATTTTGGAGTTTTCTCTTTGCAGATATGTGTAAAGAAGGGGGAAAACCAGCTAAACAGATTAGGCTCTCTATTTCTGCAATCCAACAGAGACCAAGTAGTGATGAGAGATGACATGAGGATTAGTATTCAAAGAATGCAAGGCCTCTGGTGCTGCAAGTTTAGCCTCAAGGACTTAATTGCTTCTGTCTGAACGGCTAGGTGTTTTAAACACTGAACTAAGTTGCCAGACTAGGAATACACTAAAAGTTTTAGCAGCATCGATTTGTAAAGCAAACAGTACTCCCACTCTCCATCACACACAGCTTCAACGTAGATGGGGAGTAACAAATTAATGAAACAAAATTTAAGATTCAGCCTGTGGCAGCCAGCACAAAACAGATGACAGTGCAGGATCAAAGAGCAGACAAAAGATAAACCAAATGCAGACAGATATAAATTTTATACTAATTTCATAGTGCTACATACAACAGTAATGCTGAAGCAATATACCCAACTAGATTGGCAATATAGGAAATGTAAGTAAAAACCAGCAAGTACAGTTACCTTATCCTCATCAAGAGGATCTGATTTGTATTATCCTCTTTCAGAAGAACTACACTGATACAGAGCTAGAATATCATGCCCGTAATACACACGCATGTGGAGATAATGAAATGGAAAAAAAAAAAAAAAAAAAAAAAGAAAAGGTTTGACATAGCTGGAAATGCTTTTGTTCATTTTTAAAAGGAACAAACTGATCAGAAGCCAAATCGGAGAATAAAATGAATAAAAGGCAAACATAACATGGACTCTACAAATACGTTATTTTGACGACTGCATTTTGACTATTATGAATCAAAAATCAATAAAACAGCATAACTATCTAACATGTTTCCTGGTTAAAATCTGAGGATGGCATAGGACAAAAAAAAAAAGACAAAAAAAAAAAAGGAACCATTATCCTCAAATCATCATAGCACTAGACTAAAACATTTACCACAGAGTTGAAAGATAATAAAATCAATCTTATCAGTACATGGTGGCCTGAACTAGTAACTTATTGTTTACATAGACGTAGGTTACTGTTCAAAAGAACTGGTAACACAATAATTTTCTTTATATTGTAATTCGCAGGCTCTTGTTTTGGTGCTCACAAAAAACCCCTGTAGCACAGTGAGTCAGACTACCTGTGGAGAGAAAATAATTAACCTACTAACAAAACTTCCTTCTCTAGGAGATGGTAAAGAGATTTCCCTTGAGAGGGAGGAAGTCAATTAACATTTGAAAAGGCCTTACCAACAGAAAGCCTGTTTACCTACACCTCAGCAGGAAGGGGATGCTCTTTGAAAAGGCAAAAGGTGCTAAAAATACACAGACTGAAAATAGCTGTTTGAAATGGAATAATATCCTTTGAAAGGTTCAGAGCACATATCCACAGGTTAAATTTAAATAATGTGGTGGACATTTGTGAGAAAAGTTATAGGTGCAGTGACATCTCTAGTACAGAGGCTACAAAATTTTGGCACACAGTAGTAAGACAAGTTCACAACACGTCAAAGCACTGATATTCTGTAATTGCCCTAAGGATTCCTCCCTGGTTGCTACACTAGGCTAGATTTTCTGGAATCTTAGCCTGAATGAATAAAATGAGAACATAAACTCTAACATCAAGATTACAGGCGCAACCTTGAAAGCCTGATGTAGTAAAACTGGGCTCTGCATTTGTTTGGTTTTGTTTGAAAACAAACCGAGCTGCGGGTGAGGGCATGACACATGGCATTTGTCATCATAGCCATAACATACACTAGGCAAGGTGAGGGTTCAAAAGAGTTTACGTAGTCTGGACAACCCGTCTTGAAATATTAAGTACATCGAAGAATTCAGATGCATCTCAGATCTACTGCAGGGCGAGGATACTCAGTTGCATTACAGATCTCACATCTGTTACCTTTTCAATGCCACAAAAAAATAACATATTACCAATTTGAATTCCTCATCTTCTTAGAGCAAATGCATTTTATTTTCCACTTTGAGGAACATACACGCTGCCCAGTTAAAACAGTTTTCTTCAAAGCCTCACAGAAGAACACTACTGCTGGTCCTCAGTACTCACACAGAACAGCCAGACAGTTTTTACTCTCACTCAGTAGTAAGTCAAAGTCTCACTACTTTGTAGAATATGCCGTCTAGGATTACTGTGTCATACTTCATTTATAAAGGTGCAAAAAACAGCGTACTATTTAGAAACCCAAATAAACAACATAAAAGTGCCCCCTTCCCTCCCACCAAGCAGGTGACTTTCACCCACGTACCTGTTGCTTCTTCATCAAAGCAAGCAAAAGCATTCCTGATTACATCTTCCGGATCGGTGCCATTTAACTTCTCACCAAACATGGTCAGGAACATAGTGAAGTTTATGGGGCCTGGAGCCTCATTCATCATGGCATCTAGGTATTCATCCGTTGGATTCTTTCCTATAAATAAAGGGATTCATACTTGGTTTAGCTTTCAAACTAACGGTAATCTGAATAGCGTAATACAAACAGAGACATCTCTCATAGGCTATCCCAAATTAAATTATTTTAATTATAACACCACAAATTTGCTTGGCAACCGTAAACAGAAAAGTGACATTACCAAGGGAGGCGAGCATATCATGCAAGTCCTCTTTGTCAATGAAGCCATCCCTGTTCTGGTCAATCATGTTGAAGGCCTCCTTGAATTCCTGAATCTGTGACTGATCAAACATTGCAAATACATTGGAAGTGGCACGCTGAGGGCGCTTCTTGGTGGTCTTTGTCTTTGCCTTTTTGCTAGACATGTTGATTTTTGGACACTAGGGAGAGAAGTAAATACAGTAAGACCAGAGTTAGTACTTAAAAAAACACTGTTTAACATTGAAGTTCACAGATAGAAACCACCTCTAACAAACTTCAGTTTCCTGTCATCAGGTGTACTTCCCTAACCAAGGAGGGAAAAAGAGAAGCAGAAAATACAAACAAATGAAAAACAGACTCCTAAATAAAAAAAGTCACCAAAAGATGACATAAGTTATACTTGAATTTTGGTCTTCAAAGGGACAGCTTTTGTCTGGGATCCCTTCTTGATACACACACCTGAAAGAAGGGAACTCGGACTGCTCTCAAGTCTAAAAGAACAAAGTGAGGTTTTGACAGCTGTTGTTAACTCTGAAAAAGTTCTCTATGGATACGGATATACAATAACTGTGTGCAATATTAGGTAGTAGGTGAAGGAGAAACACAACTCAGTTCACCTGAACAAACTCTGAAGCATCTATATTTGACACCTGACAGCGGTAAGTAGTTGCTATTTTGTATAATGATTGGTCTCTGTCCTTGTCTTGCCTTCCATTACTGAAAACACCCTAAAACTAGGAGAACACTGTGCACGCTATATTTCTCCTCATAGCAATAAGTTCTGCCTGACTTCCATTTACTTTTATGCACTTAATTTTACCTGACATATACTACAGGCCTGTCATACCTGAAAGCTGACGTCTGCTGCCACCTCCTTTAAGCAAAAAGGGAAAGCAACCAACTCACACTGCTTTTGCTCATCTCCCTAGAAGAACTGCTCAGAAAAAGGTATCTTCACCCGTAACACTCAAGCTAACTGAGCTTGGGTCTGAACAACACAGAGCAACAGCCATGCTTTGGTCCATTCATTGCTACTGCTGTTATTTACCTGTTGCTAAGCCTGCAAGGTTTCCATTGTACAGTGCTGGGGAGCAAGCTTTAAGATTTTATAAAATTAATCGGAGGAGACTACATTTGTCCTTTAGGGTAGGTGGGAGAGATGGAGGAGGGAAAACCTACATGCAGTCCCTTTCAGCTTCAACCACAGAAGGCTGTGACCTGAAAACAACCTGGCAGCCACCTCTTGCCCTAAGCTTGGATGTGTGGGGAGAATTAAGCTTGGCAACAACACTCAGATCTGTCAGAGAGCACTGAGATTTTAAAAAGCTAAAAATAAAAAAAATATATATATATTTTTGGGGGCCCGGAGGAAGATTGATGTCTCTTCCAAAGAGACATACAGCCCTAGGCTTCAAGGGCGTAGAGTCCAAGAGCTCTTGCCCTCCTCACGAAGAGGCGACGCCGCCAGAGCCTCAGCCTCAACCGGCGGCGAGGGAGGAAGGGGGGCGGCGGCCCAGCGCCATCGCTTCCCCTCAGCGGCAGCTGTCCCAACGGCTGCTGCCAACGGTCGCTGGTTCGAACGTGTCTCCCAACGGTCACCCTCCCCACCGCCCGTTCCCGCCCCCAAACACCTCTTCACCGGCAGCACCCAGCCTCACCCCAGCGATCGCGGCGGGGACCCGGTACGAGACGGAGGCGGAAAGGAGGAAGCGGCGGTAGCAGCCCCGGTGCTTCCCGGAGAAACCATCGCCCTCCTGAGCGGCGGGTGGGGACGAGCGGCGGGCCGACAGCGGGACGCGGCGGGAGAAGCGGCGGGGGAGCAGCGGAGCGCCAGCGGGGCCTTCTCCCCTAAACGACCGCAGCCTCCCTCCTTCCTCAGGGCGGCTGGAGCGGGACGTCCCCGCAACCGCTTCCCCCCCACCGCCGGCAGCGTTGGCGCAACCCGGGGGAAGTCGCCGCCATCAGCGGCGCTCGGGCGGCGGGGAAGGACGGGAAGGAGCCCCAGTAGCGGCTGGTGCCGGTCCGGGGGCGGGCCCCGAGGCTTGGGGGCGCTGGGTCAGGGGGAGGCCAGAAGGCTGATGAAGAAAGAGAAATCCGAGCTGCCCTAAAAACGCGTGTCATAGATCTTGGCGGAGGGGGGGAAGCGGGGAAGCACAGAGCAGCCGCCGCGTTCAGCCGGGTACCGGCACCGGGCCCGGGCGGGGGTACGCTCCGCGCTGTTGGTTTGAGAGGTGGAAACGTGTTTCTGGAGGGCTGCTTCGGGCCAGCGAGCTCTTCCTGTGAGCTTTATTTTTTATATATCGCGTTGAAGACGGAGCTTGGGTCCGCGTTCCTGAAGCCTCAGCCGGCAGCCGCGCAGTTCACAGGTTCATGGTGTCACAGCAGTGAGGTAAATGAAGCCTCGTCATTTGGTAATGTAATGCCCGAACTAAGTGTGGGATGTTATCCTGACAGTCTTTATGTTTTGCTTGAGGGATCAGAAAAATTCTAGTTTGCATCTTTAAGTCTTCTAAATGAGTACTCCCGCATGAACAAGACTTAACACTTCTTGGAGCCATATATTAGAAAGATCCCTCGGAGGATTTATTTTTTTCTTATATTTTCTTAATGAAAACAGTGCAAAGGATAACACTTTTGTTTTGCTTTGTTTCCCTCTTTCTTCATTTACCGGTGTCGGGTCTCAATGTGGTACAAGCTCTTCTTATTGCTCCCCTGATGATGGGGTCTGAAATTGTGTCAGAAGCAGTTCGTTTTTAGCCCATTTTTTAATTTTTGCTGAACGGAATGCCTATTCACGTTTTGCATATTGAAGTCCCCTGTAAATCACTTGGGCTTCGAGAAGCTGTTGGTTAGTACACAGAAAGATTCTAAAATATTGTCAGATGGGAAAGCTGCACTGTCAGTTCATCATTCTTTTAACTCCTTTCTTACCTGTTACCAGTTTTGTTGGTATACAGTCTGTATCTTGGCAAACAATAACTCTTAAGGAGGAGAGGAAAAAATGAACAGGCTTTTGCTAAAATTACCAATTCTATTTAAAAATGTAAATGGATTACATTTAGGCATTGTACATTGTACATAGTGAAGTTAATATATAATCTAGAAGTTGCAGTCCCAAATTTGAAGGGAGACACTTTAACTGCTAAGGGGCCCAACTTCCTTTCCCTGCCCTCCCCTCAAACCAGAGACTTATTTCATGAGGTCTGAGAATTTGGTCTAATTAGCTTACAAGAATACTTCCCTGATGAATTTTAATATTTGTCTGCTAAACATTTCCTCAGAGTGCAATGGAAAAAAATACTAAACTTTGATGAATTGAGAGTATGCCCATGGAAAAAGTTTTTGGGAAAAATCCTCTGTACTTATGAGACACGGCACATGATTTCAGGATAATTATATGCAAAGTGTGAGTTGGCAGTAAAGCAGTAGAAACACCAAGATAGTAATAGAGTTATTAAAATACCCCATTATGATCTTGAACAACTGAATTATGTGTTGAAATTTAATTACAAAAATAGTTTTTTGCTATCTTAATTTAAAATCCTTTCATCAGTTACTTTAAATTGAACCACTATTGCAAACAGACTGCTCTGTGTTGTATTGTTTTTCATGCTATTAAAAAGGTGTTACATGAAACCTGTCACCCTGTGTGTTGTTCCCAGTGTTTAATTTTCAAAGATGTGAGAATAGGTGCAATAATATTACTCACCCAGTATGAGATCAGTTCTTACTGATGAAATTGTGTGTCTGTGTTTTTCTCTCTCTCTCAAAGCTTTTGTCTCCAGTTTGCTGCATCATATTGGAAAGGGAAGAAGTTGTTAAATGCAAACCATTTTCTATGCGATGTAAATCTATATAATGCTTTTACAAATGGTTCAATTTTACTTGATTCCAGCAATCATGATACAACTAAAATTTAAAGGGGATCACCCCTCAGGTGACCAGGACTTCATTTCTGCTGTTTAAACCTCCCTCTGGAAAGGATGCTCCTTGAGGATGGTGCCTGTGAGCTTCCCGCAGCCGTGAACAGTGCTTAGTTCACTGTGACTGTGTATCCCTGGCTGATGCTGGAGAAGAGCAAGGCTGGCATCCCACTTCTTGCTGCCCTGCAAGCTGTTTTCAGAGAGCACAGTGAAGCCACGGGCTCCTTTCTGGAGTGTGCAGGCTCCTCTGGGCTCATGGTGCTCCCTGACTGCTTGGAGAGCTGTGCCTGCAGATCGCTGTCTGACAGGACGGCAGGCCTGATCTTGAAGGTGGTCTTGGGGCTCTTCTAGAAGAAAAGCCCAGGCAAATCCTGGGCAGAGCATGTTCTGGGAAGCCTGCGGTTGCGATGGGTAGCTCTGCTGCTAAGTGTTTCATCCAGCCTTTTGCCACCACACATGCCCAGTGTGTCCAGGGCAAAGCATTTCTCCCGCTGCTCTGCAGGGAGAGTGAGCCCTCCCCGCTATCCTGCCTGCAGGCTGGGCACTGCGAGGTGGGGGGGGGACAGGGGACGGGGCAGGGAGCTCTCGGGGGTGTGGGGTGTGGAAGGGATGCTCGTGTGGTGCTGTACCAACAAATAGTGCCGCCTAGTGATGAGCTTCAGTTTTAGACAGCGTTTGTTTTGTGGGCTGGGGAAAAATGCCTGCACTACCACATCCAAGGATGTATGCCGAAAAATTGTTTACTTCTCAGTACCGCATAATTTCCTGCATAAACGATAAAGAATAAGAATTAATTTATCCATTCTGAAAATACGATTTTTAAGAGAAATGCCAATTTCTTAACTGCTTTGGTTTCTTCCTACTACTTTTTCCTTCATTACTTCCACCTTCTTCCTCATTTAGTCAGTCTTATTTAAAAAAAAAAAAAAATCCCAACTTTTAAGCAGAATGTATAAAATTTTCCTATCCTTTCCATCTAAAATACTCAAATACTTTGGTGTTATTGAAATGTTTTCCTAGACTTGTTTTCTTTGGATTGTCTAAAAGCCTTCAAAAATTATCTGTTCCATACTTAAGTTCTAAGGCTGTTATAGGCAACAAGAAATTTACAGTAAACCTTTTCCCTCATTTAATTCTCTCCATTCCCTCACCTCTGCTGAGTTATGATGACAGCCCAAATGTTTGTGATTAACTTGGTTGCTTAATGAAGCAGAATCAGTCTGCGTCATATGATGTCTCTTTACGAATCTAATTAATGTTAGAGGAACAGCTGCACTGGCTCACAGTAAAAGCCTGCTTAGCTGTAAAGAGATGCATATTCTGGATGTGGAAAGTGGGGAGGAAAATCTTGGAGGAATTTCAGAACAAGAAGTCTTGGTGATCTGCCATCCCCACGGACTGTGTCTGCACTGTCTGCTCTGCGAAGGCAACTGCACTGAAGGGGTGGGGGCCACGGGACTGGTCCACTTGTCTGCTGTCATGGTGTGCCACTTGCTTGCTGGAAGGCCAGAGAAAAACCCCAAGGTCATCCCCAGCACCCACATTTGGCCATACTCAACAGTGAGGAGTCAGGATTGCTCAGGCTGGAGTTCTGCTCAGCATTCAGATCTTGCTGCCTCCTTAGAAGGTGACGACCACAAAGCTGGGGTCAAATGAGATTGCCCAAGGTTCACCCTGGTTTTTCAGAAAGTCAGAATTGGCCCATAAAATGGGGAAGGTGAAGCCTAGCAGTTGTGTCTTCTTCCTGCTTCTTGCATTTCTAGGTGGAGCACCATTGGGATGTGTCTACTGGCTCCTTGCATGCCTTCAACAAATAGATCCCGTGAGGTCTCCCCTACCAGGTCCCTGGAGGATTTTACTGTTTTTTGGGGGGGGGCAGGGGTGTAGGTTCTGTTGTTGTTTTGTTTTGTTTTCCTGTGAAACTTGGAATCGAGGTTTTTAAAAATCTCTTTTTCTTCTTTTTGGAGGAGAGAGAGCACTGGGTGCTTTTAGCCTGATCTTAAGGTGAGAGGAGCAGCAATGGTCATATGCAGGTATCGAGGGAAGAATAAGAATCAGGGAAACCTGTGATATCCTCCCAGAATCTTCTCACAGCCTCTAGTATGTTTAACTCATGGAGGGGTAAGCCACCCTGAGCCAGATGCAGTATTTAATAACCCAGGATGAACTTCCTTCATGAGCTTGCCTAATAAATAATCCTTGAATCGATGTAAATTTCGCATCCATTGTATACATTGGAGGTGGTTTTGGATTCCTTTGCAAGATTTCTATCTGTTACATTAACCCCACCTTCCTAATTTTGAACCTAACTATTCCTATTTTTATTTGATGCTCTACACTTTGTATTGGCAGAAATTCTGAGGCTGAATTGTGTGCCCACCTCTTTTGTGTTTTGCTTCTAGAGAGTTCTCACATGTTCTGTCAACTGTAGCAGAGAGTCCTGCTTGGGTAATTTTTCTTGTACAGAGGCTATGCCATACAATAGAAGGTGTATACTTACTTTATAGAAGTAAGACTCAGGATATGCGTAGGAAACAAGCAAGAGTATAACAAAGGAGACTAGATGAAAAAGCATATTTGTGATTTTCACATTGAATTAAGAATTAAAAATGTGTGAAAGTTGGATGGTTTGCCAGTTAAGTGATTTTTTTTGAGCATATTATCACTGTTCAACAAAAGCAGCAAATGCTACTTGCAGTGGTTAAGTATTGACAGCACAATCAAGTATTTCCAAATTTTGTTCTAAGTCATTTCTATGTCAAAACAGTTGTTTAACAAAAGCATTTTGACTGTCAATTGCTTCACCTAGGATTTTGGATTATCCCTTTGCCTTTCCATTGCTTCTTCTCCGATTCCAGCTGGCATCTGTTGTCTCTGTCAGGTTATCCTAAGTGCAGTGCTGTATCAGTCAGAGTGACAGTAATTTTTTTTGTGATGCTGGGAGTGTCCCAGAGTTGTTCTGAAATTCTTCCAAAAATAGCTCCAGTGCTGTGACCCAAAGGGAAGATGTTTGAGAAGTTGTGAGTGAAAGAAGGGATTCCTGAACGCATGTCTTCTCTTGGGTCTCTTGGAGGGCCACAGAACAAGATTTCTATCTGCAGGGTATTCCCTGTTTTCATTCAAAGACCTCATGAATAAAAATTGTAAGTTACTGCTTTCCCAGGTGGACCCTGCCACAATGTAGATGCTGAAGCATGAAAAATAAAGGCTCTTGGAGAATGTACTGGAGCCTATAGAAGAAAGATATATTCTTTCTTCATATTGAAAATGCGAAATGGCTCTGTTCTGGCTTTCTGGTAACTTCTACTGTGCATAGCTGAGGAAAAGGCAGGAAGGTAAATTCTCTAGAGCATTGTATGACAATGATATGCCAGGGCTAAGGACAAAGCAGAGGAATGTAATGGAACATCAGTAGTATAAAGTCAGTCTCTGAAATGTTGCAAAACAGGAGAAAACTAAAAACTCCAATAGAATTATGTAAATCTACAGCTCAATCACTGTATGAATGGGCACTGAAATGTATTTGGCAGAGTATTGAGGGACTGGAGTCTGCAGACAAGGTGCTCCTTGCATTCCCAAGTCCAAAGTCCTTTATATGTAAGAACACAAATTAAAAAAAATATAAATGTTGATTTCTGCTAGGTTTTTGTCCCTTGCTATCTGTTCTCTGTGATAAAGAGGTCCCTGTACTGCTACTTATGCACTGTGTCCACCACTTGTTTTTTATCCCAGCTGGTAAGCTGCAGTAATTTTAGCCAAAGCTTTATGGGTTCTTCTCCTCTTTTTGCAGTAGTTTTAAACAAATATTGCCAGATGCTGTGATTCCACAATGTTTATAAGTGCAATGCAAAAATAAGTGTTGCTAAGGTATGCTTAGTAATAAGAGAGCAAGGCCTCCAATCTTTCAAACACATGTAATTAATTCTGCTAATCCTAAGGACATATATGTGTGCTCTCTCCTTGCACGTTAAGTTAGTGTTTGTATCTATCTGACAATGTGTATGTACAAATAAGGAAGAAAATGAAATGTGCTCAATGCTTGGCTGAAGGCGAACAGTGGTATTTTAAAACATACCCAGAAAACAAGAAGGAGTGTATTTAGTCAGGTGTTTGACATAAAAAGTAAGCTGTTACCAGTTTCCTTATTAGCTGGCGCCTGTGGAAGTTTGGTTGGCTGGTGGAACAATTTCAAAATCAACACGCTTCTTGTGTGGTGGTAATATGTTGCCAGTGTAAAACCTATTGTGTTAGAGATAGCTCACAATTAAGGAAGAAGAATTTGATACAGATAAAAAAACCCAGTATCTGTTAGATACAATGCTAAGTCAAGGCTCAAGTTAGTGGTGTCTGATGCCAGCTCTATTTTAGCAAATACTAAGAGAAGGCTCGCCGGCCTCATTTTACACCCACTCACTTGAATATGCTAGACAGAGGCTGGAAATTGTTGTGAAATGCTGTCTTGTAACTCCCAAGGAGCTATGCCTACAACATTCATAAGGGAAAAAAACAAAACGTAGATCAATATTTAGTGAGGCTGTACTTGCTGATACCCTAAAATAGTCAAAGTGAGGAAATTACAAATTAAGGATTAAATAAACTATGCAAAATTGAGCAGTGACAGTTTACAAGAAGGCTAAAATCAGTGCTGCTGTCACACACCGTGTGCTCCTTTAGGCATTCGTATTAAAGTTACTCTTGAGTTGCCTAATCCTGTAGTATTTGTAACTGACTTCCAAGCTTTATCAAAGCGCAAGGCCGCTGTACAAAGGGACCTGCGTGGCAGAGGAGTTTGCATGCAGCAAGTGGTTGAGATTTTCCAGGAGACAGTTTGATTACTACTCTCCTATTAATTGTATGCTTCTGAGAAATGTGTAAACGTCTTCCCTTAGATTTATTACATTCATACAAAATGCATGACCCCTTAAGCCCTGTGATGCAGCATCTATTATGTGTGATCTGTTCTTGAGGGAATATCAACACATTTGGTCTGCAAACATTCTTTGGCAGTTTTTTCTTCTGTATGGTTGAAATTTGCAATACGAGTTATCATTTTCAAGGTCTGGTGCAGGGATTCCCAAAGGGTGTGCTACCCCAGCAGCCTGCTGGCAACGGAGCTCGCTCCTACCCAACATGAGCGGTCCCAGGGAGCGGGGGACGGTGCGTGTACAGCCCCACAGGCTGCAGAGGGAAATAGGAACAGCAGCCATGTGCTGCCACTTTCTTTTTTTTTTTTTTTTTTAAGATGAAAAGTTTTATATCTGATATATCAGAAAGTTTGGGAAAACAGTGATCTCTATGGAGTTGCTGCTCAGAGCACAACAAAAACAAACTGTGTGGAATTTATTTTTTCCCAGTATTGCTTTTCAACATTTCATGATAACTTATTTTTAAGCTGCATTTTGAGAGGTATTTACTTATTTCTTTTTGCCTTTATATTGTTCCTGGCTTTGGTAGTACTGTTTCAGAGTTACTGTCATCCTAAATCATTTTTCTGCAGGAGGAGGTTATCTAAAAATGACGGTAGAGTTTGAAAAATTAAGTAAGCAAGCCCAAATAGGAGCATGGGTACACAGACAATACCAATGGCAGATTAAGGGCTGGTATCTAAAATGTTCCTGACTATTTTGACTGTTACTCACCTGTTATTTGGACTTACGTTGTCTGAATACCTTCAGTATGGTAAAAGAGCTATTTGTTGCCATTTGAAACTCCCCAGGAACATACCACGCTCTAAGTTAGTAACATTCCGGACAAGAAAAGGCCACAGCCAAGAGAAATGCGATGACAAGATTTCAGGTATTTTCCAGCTTTTGGAACAAATGCCTGGGCAGGTTATGAAAGTGTACTGTTACTGATGTGCTGTGCCAGGATGGGGCCCCTGTGCTACATTTTGTTTCTCAACATGCGATAGCAATGCTAGAAACAAGCGATCTAAAGATAGTTCTTTGGTCAGTGGCAAAACGGATCCATACTTCAGAGTGCACGAACACCACCTCTGTGACATCAGTTGGTTGCTGAGCTAGTATATTAAGCTGACTTGATGTTGTGAAATGGTTCAGTCATCTGATCACCGTGTGATAAAAGATGGTTTTATTTGCTTAAATGCAGCGTAGAGAACAGAAACAAGTGTATCCCAAGAGGTTAAAATGCTGCATATTAGCAGTGTCTCCAGTAACAGTGGGAGCTGGGAGGAGGAGTGGGAAGCAGCAGGCAAGCATACGCTGGCAGCACTTCACACAGACATAGTCCTTCCTCCTTGGAGGTTTCTCATGCAGCTGCAATACCTCTCTGGCTTCACTTTGACCTTTGCAGATGTAGCCTTAGAACAGAGTAAATGGGTCATATAAAACAAATCACTGCTTTTCAGTAGTGCTTCACAGGGCATTATATATCACTGTAGATGTTAAGACTATTAAATGTGTGCATCGGCCTATGAAAATAGTTTTTCATCATAAGCTTAGTCTGGCGTGGAGCTTAAGAGACCATTATATATGAACCCCAAGGGAGAAAAGATTAGGTTCCAAGATTTTCACTGCAGAATGCTAAGTCTAAGTCATCAGAATCTTAAGCTGTTTCAGTGACCAAAGTTATTTTTATTTTTGGAAGTGGATGACACATCCCTACAGCCCTCGGCACGCAACCTCAGCTGTCCGGACATTCCTTGCTGCCGAGCTACAGAACGCCTGTGATGCTCTTATACGGTCTCTTGGCTGGAGGTGTAGGTCCTCTGAGCCTTCTAGCAGTTACAGGGTTCACACCCTCTTGCAGGTTACCTGGTCTCCTACATTACAATACAGATACGAGGGAAACCTGAACTTGTAAAGTCATTAGTTATACTTGAACATCCTTTGAAATTCTCTCTTAATAACATGTCTTCCTGAGCAGGCATGTGTACATGAACACAGTTCCTGGTCCCCACCCGCTAACCAAGCCTTCATGCTACCACACAGGACAAGAGCCAAACCCTCCTTAGTCTATGCTGTCTCAGCTTTTACGAGCCCTTTAGCCAAAATAAAATTCCTACTCCTCGGGGTCTTTTAAGTCATGTGAAATAGGTCAGGGCATGGTTTCTGGATAAGAGGTCATCACTTCAATTGATAAATATGTAGGTAAGAAATTCCCCTTATGCTTTTCAGCTTGCAGTAGCCAAGAGGAGACACATGGAAGGACATGGACATGCCAAGAACTAAGAGAAGAACCTGCCTCTTTTCTTGGTATTTGAGACAAAAGCATCAGCCCAGCCTTTTCTGGATGATTCTTGCTTGCTTAACTTGATTAAAAGCCATCTTATCAATGTAGCTGAGGAATATGTATGATTTTTTAAGAAGCGAGAAGGACTTTAGCATGTAGTGGGTTTTACAAAGTTACTTCTTCGAACGACTTTGCTCACATTCTCACAGGCAAATTAAAAGCTGTAGAACAAATAAGCTTTATGTATGTTTTCTATACATTTATTGCTGTTAATTAGTGTCAGCACAGACACTGTAGTTTAGAGATTCCTTTACACAAGCTTCCTTCAGCAGAAGGGAAAAAATACACCCAATTCCCACTTATTGCCAGCATAAAAACTTAGTAAACAGGAATGCAAACTTTAGCATGAAAATATTGCTAAAAAAACTATCAATATTAAAAGGAAATAAAAGATGGGAATGATAGCTGCTTAAGAATGATAATGTTCTTTGTTACAATTGCTTAATGGCTAGCAATCTTCCCTAACCATTGCTTTGGCCAACTATATACACCAGTCAGATCCTGCTTCAAAAACCTGAGGTAAAAGATTTGTACAGCTGCATTTTTAAAAGACACCAGCACATACTGCTAGGAGCATTTCAGAACTGTGCGACACCCAACAAAACATTATGAAAGTGAGTGTTTCAGCTTGATATGCAAGTAAAATACAATTAACACACCTGCATTTGTAAATGCGTAATAGAAATGTCATTCTCCACAAAGTAATTTGAGGTATTTTATCTATATAGCAGTCTTTATTTCAAAATGGCATTTATTACAAAAATGTAAAAATCCAGATAAACCAGAAACATTGAGATTATTTTCCTAGACTATCAAGTCCAGGGATCTTTGTCACCATACCTTCTTCCTCACAATATTTTCCCCACTTCCAGTCTGATTATACAGGTGCAAATTTGCCTAAATGGCCTGGAATAGATAAATACATCGAGAAAGGCAAAAGTTGTAAAGCTAAATGCATGCAACAAGGTCTATCAGGAAGAAACCTTCAAAAATAAACGTAAGTGTAAAGTAGAGATAATATGCAGGTATCAGGAGATTTCCTCAGTCATCCTTGTCTTTTGCTCCATGTTTCAGGATGCGTGTGAATTCGATGTAGTTGAAATTGCCCTTTTTGTCGATGGGTGCCTCCCTGTACAGCTCATCTACCTCTTCATCTGTGAACCTGTCTCCCATTGTCGTCAGCAGCTCTCGCAGGTAGTCTTCCTGGATGAACCCTAGAACACAATGGAAGAAGACGTAAGGAAAAAAAAAAAAGTTTTTACATTTAATAGATGGATGATAATTTCTGTGAATTCTTTGTTTCAATTAAAGAGACCTACAGTCTTTGTTGCCAAATTAAAACAAAGCCACTAAAGGCTATTACTATAATTGCTAAATAATTACAAGCATTAAATCTAGTCAAGCCTCTTGGTTAATTTGCATGGTCTCACCACTTCAAGTAAAGGCCATTTAATGACTTGTCTGTGTTGTTTCAAAGAATGTACACATTTGTCAGTATACATATTGGACCTACTTCCCAACAGCAGGGCTATACTCCCAGTAGCACTGAGAGCCTTCTAACAGCTGTGTATTTTACACAGAGAGGATCCATTTGCTTTGAATATTCCTAATGAAGACCACTAAAAGTAATGATGGAAGTGGTCTACCAATGTTCAATAAGTGCATGAAACACAGGGATGTTTGAAGTATTTTAAAGACTTTAAATTTATCTTAAATCAGTGACAAAACTCAGATTTAATAGACTGGTTGCAAAGAATACATTTTTGGCATTGTTTATTAAACAAGCAGCCTTATATAACTTGCGATTCCTTCTATCAGCACTTGAGAGTCACACAAGGTATTTCCTGTATTCACTTCCTCCTGAAAGCACAGTTTAACACAGGAAATGTGGGTACAAGCTGCTGACAGAAAAATACTTCAGAAAAGCACAACAGCTTTGAAGACAAGGATTCCCCTTAGAAAAGTTTCCCCAAAGCTAAATTTTAGATTAGGAAAAATAGAACCCTTGTTCTCAGTCAACTTTTTTTTAAAAAAAAACAACTTTCTTCTGTCTTGACCAACAGAACAAAAGTACCAGAAGTTTGGGATTTTAAGTTTTACAGTGTTTGAAAAGATAATTTCAGCTGATGAGGATACAGGCATGATTTTTAGTTTGCAGAAATCAGAATTTTCAGAGCTAAAAAATTATTCACCACTTCTATGAATACGAGTATTTGTTGCTACAAAAGTAAGTAGAAGTAATACATGTACACTGTTATTTTACACACGTACCTGTTGCTTCTTCATCAAAGCAAGCAAAAGCATTCCTGATTACATCTTCTGGATCGGTGCCATTTAACTTCTCACCAAACATGGTCAGGAACATAGTGAAGTTTATGGGGCCTGGAGCCTCATTCATCATGGCATCTAGGTATTCATCCGTTGGATTCTTTCCTATAAATAAAGGGATTCATATTTGGTTTAGCTTTCAAACTAACGGTAATCTGAATAGCGTAATACAAACAGAGACATCTCTCATAGGCTATCCCAAATTAAATTATTTTAATTATAACACCACAAATTTGCTTGGCAACCGTAAACAGAAAAGTGACATTACCAAGGGAGGCGAGCATATCATGCAAGTCCTCTTTGTCAATGAAGCCATCCCTGTTCTGGTCAATCATGTTGAAGGCCTCCTTGAATTCCTGAATCTGTGACTGATCAAACATTGCAAATACATTGGAAGTGGCACGCTGAGGGCGCTTCTTGGTGGTCTTTGTCTTTGCCCTTTTGCTAGACATGTTGGCTGTTGATTCTAGGGAGACAGAAACACATCGAAGATTTAGCTTTATTAAATCAGTTTACAAGTCCTTGGAGAAGGGATGGATAAAGCAATATCCAATTCCATGTCATAAGCAAATACCCCAAAACACACATTTATTTTAATATCTCCTGCTCCATTTTCTTTCAGTTGGACTTCACTTGCTATTAAGCATAATGTCTTTCAGGATTCAGGGGCTGGCACTGTAGGACAATAGCAGGCTGCATTAAAAAACAAATCATAGTTCTAGAAATGAAACTCACACAGTGCTTGTATTGCTGATTCAATACTGCATCTTCCACAAATTAAGATGACTATATGCTTAGCAGTTTAGGAGGCACTGCTGACCTACCACAAAGGGGATATTGGCTGCTAACCTAGCATAGTATGTAGCGGTTAAATAAATCAAGCAGTATGCTAAACTAACATTTGGAAGGGAAAAAAAACCCCCACAAACTAACAAATGTAGTATTTTAGGCTCTGAATAGCATTTTGTTATGATAGCTGCTGTTAAAAGAGCAGTAGGCCTTGGGACACAAAATGACCCTGATGAGAGCCTAAAGTTTTTGTGAAGATCATCGGATAGTGCTGGGGCTGGGAGAGATCCGCCAAAGATCTCCTCCTAGAGCGTTTTCAAAGTCAACTAGAGGATTGTGTGTGTTAGAGAAAGGACACTGAGGTGGGCGACACTGCCATTCTCTTACACAGTGGAACTATTGCACAACACATATGCAAATGCCAGCACACTCTTTTTAAAATTAATTAATGATATAATAGTTCCAAAAACCTGAAGATTGTTTCTTTTAAGTTATGAACCTTTTAAAATATTTATATATTCTCACAAAATCATTATATAGTTTCATGTAACACAAATATACTAATTTCATTGTTTCCCTTAAGATGTCAAATGAGGAAATAAATGTGGTAATTTACATGTTATAACACTAATAGAATCAGGCTAGATGGGAGGCTTTCAAGTTGACTGCTTCTATTTAGCTGGGAATACACATTTAGTTTTCAACTTTAGTTGACAGTACCAACACAAAAAGCTGAGTCATTCACTGAAGTGCAATCACAAAGACACCAACATTGCTACTGGATCAGAAGAAGGCAGACCCTGTTTAATGTTGCTTCTAAAAGTCTTGTACACCTCTGTGCTTTAGTTTTATCTAATGCAAACAATCCATGCTGCTATAATCCTTTATTATACCCAAACCAAACTCTATTGCAAACCGGATTCCTTCCATACTTGATTTTGAATTTTACAGGAAGCACCTGCAGCAAGTGTGTCCTGAAAGAGGACAAATTTAAGCTTCATTGTAGTCACAAGAATACCAACACTTTGCAAATGACACTAAGTGTTAATTCTATAACTTTAAAAAAATTATCTGGCCAGAAATGCAATTCTAATCAGAGTCACAGCAGGGTTCTAAGTGTTTCTCAGATAGTTTGCCCAAGGTTACTATATTTTCTGTTAGACTTTTGAAAAGCAAGACTGAAGTCATTAACTTGAATTCATCCTTAAAATAGGGGTAAAATTAAGCAAAGTTACTCCCTTACATGGTTAATCAATCCAATATTCAGGCAAAAAGCAGCTAGGTTTTTTTTGTTTTAATTAAAAGGAAAAACATTTTACCTTGCTTTGTATCAGATACCTGACATGCTGTACCAAGCATCTGGATCATAAAAGGATATTCCATGGTTACGTCCTTCTCAGTGTGTCTACATAGAGCGTTACTGATTTCCCCTGCTAATTCCACACTTTTAAATCCTACGTGCATATACAACGTTATTCTGACGTATAAAACAAACCATTATGTCCTGAACTAAAAATAGCCTATGAAATGCAACTGTGCATCATTCAACACTGAAGTTCTCTTCATTGCATTCACTAACCACAAGCTATCTGAGATGTCTGGCCTCCAACAACACTCCAACAAATAAATACGAACCCCTGACATCTAGATATTTATGAAGACAGCTGACAATAAAGGTAGTTTGCTTTCAAGCTGCAGTCAAGGGTTGTGCATAACTTCAGTCTTTTTCATACACTCACGCAAATTACTGTTAAACTCAGAATTACTGATTAAAGGTTCCAGTATCCAAAATAGAGTAAAAAAAAAATCTGTTATCTGAAATAATTCATAGGTTTCAGAATATGGCCTATTCAAAATAAACTAAAAAGTTTACTTTGCATGTGCTGCAAGGCAGCACGCCCAGCAAGCCACGACTTACAATTCAATCCTAATCAAGAGGAGGTAACAAAAGCAGACTACTGCCAGCTGTAGCTACACGTGATGGGAAGAGAGCATCTTTCTTTTTAATTCTGTTCAGAAGACTGCCACATCAGAATATCGTACTAGAGAAGATGAAAAATTTGCTAACATTTGCGTTACTATTTTCTAAGTTTCTCTCGGCCAGGCTTGGGAGGCAGCCATACAGAATACACAAGGCACAACTCTTTCACTTCAAGAGACCTGTCCGTCCGCATCTAGAGAAGCATTAGGTCTCACGAGACGGTTATGCCTTTCAGCATAAGTTGGGGCAGCTACACTTCAAACACTGCACTCGGCTCTGGGAAACCGTATTAGAATGAGGGTGATAAATTGGAACATGTCCAGAAAAACAAGGGCATCAATCCAGTTACCCAAAGAGATCAACTTCTGATGAAAAAGTTCTAAGTATTTATACTTAGTGTTTCCTCTCTGTCTGCAACAGTAAACGATGCCATGATCCAGAACCAGCCTCATTTGAGTCAAGCACTGAACTCACTAATTTTAGATAAAATAGGATTTCATCCGATAAATCCACCAGATCATTTATATATATATAAAAAAAAAAAAAAGCGCAAGCTTTTATAATTGAAATAGGGTAAGTATAGGCTGAAAATAGAAGAATTTCAGTAGATAAAAAGTGGAAGTACTTCACATTACATAGTACAAGTCATGACAAACAGGTTTAGTCTCTTGTTTAATACCATGATGCACTCAATGGTCTGGGCCTTGTTTTGGAAACTGTCCAAGAAACTTCTAATGTAAGATCTTGCCTATTAAGACTTACAATAGGATATTTCTGAAAACATAACCTTTATTTAGGAAGAGCTTCAAATATTAAAAGAATTAATAAATGGCACCCACCAGACTAGAAAGTAATAGCACTGTGCCACTCTGCTCCTTGCATGTGTACATGCATTTGCTTAGTCAAGCAATACCAGTGTATATCAAGCTGCAGAAGCACTGAAAGTCATCTTATGGTCCTTATCTCTGGGAAAAAGATAAACCCTCGGAGGAGACAAAAATGAACTACTGAAGAGCTTGAGACAGACAATTAGATATTAAACTTTACAACCCACTAACAGTGGCGCAAGCTGGATCTGTTCAGAGGCAGTGACCAAAAGTTATGCTTTAGAAAACACCCTTGTGTTTCAACATTGTTTTTATGATTGTGTCTAATACTCAAAATTGAAAAAAAAAAGAAACCAAAACCACCTATAAAACCCTACAACCCACACTGCAGAGAACATCTACATGAACTAAGATATAATAGTGGCCTTTTCAATTATCAAATTCGAAAGTCAGCCTCAAAGATAAATTCCAAGTTCTGTCCACATAATCCATTACAGCATCGGGTACCAGGTGCTGGCAGCTGGGGATAAGACCAGGGCACTCCAGCAGATCTGTGGCAAAGCTCAGTGGAGAGCAGATTACACTTAGGAAAAAAAAAAAAATACCCAAGCCATCTCACCAAGTCTTGAAAGCCATCTTAACCCACTCATTAGTTTTCCTAAACCCCTGATCAGGAGTCAAACTTGCCTCAAAACCTAGAGCCTGACTCAACAAAGCCTCTTGTCTGCGAGTCAGGGAACGGAAACCGCCGCCAGCTGTCCCCGGGGGCTTTGCTGCCGCCGTAATTATTTCGAAGCCTAAGCAGGAACGGACGGACAGACCCGGGACCTCCCTCGCCCTCTCTGCCTCGTCCAACCGCGGGAGCTTTCGGACGAGCCCTTCCCCTGCTCCAGCAACGGCGAGGCAGCCGCTGCCGCCCCGGCCGCGAACCGGGAGGGGGGGGGAGCTGCCCCCGGGTCGGGTGACGCCGCAAGAAACCCCCCGGCCCCGGTCCGGCGCCTCAGGCGGTCCCGCCCCGCCGCACCCCTCGCCTCCCCCCGGCTCCAGACGCCGCGGGCGGCCCCGCCTCACCTAGCGGCTGCGGGAGAGGGTCCTCGGCCGAGCGCTGCGGGCGGCGGCGGCACTTCCGGAGAGGGAGTAGCCGCCGCCCCGCCGCCGCAGAGGAAGGAAAGCGTGGGCGAGACCATCCGCGCGGAGAGGCGGGGGGAGGAACGGGCGGCGAGGCCCGTCGCTTCGGCGGCAATACGCCGCGAACCGAGCGAAGGATGGGGGCCCTGGCGGCGGCTGCGATTTTCGCGCTCCCTCTCGGGGGTCTCTGCCCTTCCCGGGAGGGTCAAGTTAAGGGCCCGGGCGCGGTCCCTGTACAGCCTCCCCCCGGCGGAGCGGAGCGTTGGTGCAGCGCGGTGCTGTCACCGCATTCCAGGCGCGGGGGGCGGGGTGAGCGCCGCGTCTGCCCTAATAAGGCAACGGCGGGAGTTTCCTGCTTGTCCGGCTCGTGGTAGCGGGCGGGGAGGGGCGGGGCCTTATCTCCTCGCCCCGCCCCGCCCGTCCTTCCCGCCTTCGCCCGCCACGAAGCTGCCGCTCCCAGCCGCCCGCGCCGCCTCTCCCAGGGCCTCCATGTCACCCTAAGGGGTGGCAGTTGCCTCATAAAGCGTCACAGACCGCAGCTGGTCCCATTTTCTGGGCAGAAAAATAAAGCGTGTTCCCAGCTGGCTCTTCCCGGGCAGCGTGTTGGTGCGGGGCAGCCGGTCACCAACCCAATCACCTGGAAAAATACCTTGAATTATGCTGTCCTGCCCTCTCAGGAGGGGGAGTGTCGTGACAACCGACGGCACGTCTGGAAGGATGTTCCTAACAAGTTAATTACTTGTCTGTTTTGGGTTGAGGGGCTGTAAGTTAGGCTGCGTGTTTGGCCTGGTTTTCTAAGAAAAAGGGCTTATGCTGTTTTTTTGTCTGTACATCACCCCATCTTCGAATAATTTTTACCCACCTTGGCCAATGCCAGCAGGTGTAACAGGCAGCCTGAGGCCTCAGGTATATTCAGTTCTCACATAGTTTATGAAAAGTGTGAGAGATTACCCGTATTTATGATTTTTTTTTTTTTTTTTTTTTTTTTTTTTTGGGGAAATAAACAGCTGAGTGATGGGGGTGGTGGTGGTTCAGCAGCCAGACCCCCCCTGGCCGGGGCAGAGAGCGCAGCTGTGGGGGCACAACTCTGCTCACCTGCTGAGCACAGGCCGAGGCAGGAAAACCCACGGTTGTTTTTTATTTCCAGGGAAGCCCGGTGGTTGCCGTCACGCCTGGCTGGGGGTGAGCCTCCTGCGTCCCCACACGTGTGCTTTTGGCACAGGGCAGCTGCGGCGTGGGAGTGGGGACAGCCCTTCCTCCCGTCACCCCGAAACGGGTCGTTCCTCGTGCTACGTGCAAAACTCGTGCCTGTTCCCAACAATTTTTTTTCAAATCTTTGTTTCTTTTGTTTCCAGAGTCCGGTACTTCTACTGCTGGAGTCAGTGGCAAAATTGACCTATAATTTACCAGAGTTAGCCTTGATAAGAGTAGGAACGGGAATCTTTATATTAGAGGTATTTTTATTTTTATCCAAATAAATAATATTCAATAACAATGATTTCCTATTTTTTTCCTTTAACAATTGATACAATACTAACTCAATGATTTATGTTTATTTTTATGATCTATTCTAAAATATTTTTTTTTATCTTACCCAAACTTGGAATAATGTATGAATTAAAAAGCAATCAAAGGCTAAAATGTGAATAATTAATATGTAAGAAGACCTGTCAGAATAAGCCTTCACACTTATCTGTGTCTGTCTGAAGTGTCTGGATACTGGATATCTGCCAGGTTTAATATTTAACATAATGAGTAATACTTATTATATTGACTAACTATGGAGGACTTCAGCCTATACTCTAAATGACCACAGTTGAGTTCACCTTACTGCCCATTGACCTTTTGCAAGTTTTTTTTCTGAATCATGCTTGAATGGGAAAAGGTGTACAACATTTTATTTTGAGAAGTAGGGAGAAATTTAGTGACTCGGTAGCTGTAAGAAGTATAGATGGCAGTAATACTGACCCATGAAGAGCAATCATGTTTCCAGAAAAAAATAATTAACCTGCATTAAAAAATACATGATTTGTTTTTAACATTCTTCTTCATTAGCTCTCATTAAACTTCTTTAGACACTACAAAAACATCATGAGTTCTACTGTACAGATGGTGACACTAAAGCATAGGTGGGCTAGACAACCAACAGTACCTAAAAGCTAAAGATGCAGTTGGGAATGCAAAAGGATTTTCGGTAACATAAGTAGTTTCAGAGTCTACCTTCAGTGGGATTTGGAAGCTTGTACGCTTCCAGAACTCCTATGAGCTTCCAATCTTTGGACACCTAATTAGCTTTAGCATCTACCTTAAAATGACTTACCTGCTACTTCCTCAGAGGCCAAAGGTCCCTAATGGAGGAAATCTTCCAAGGCTGCTTTTAAACTCAGTCTTGAATATATACTAGACTTGGGCTAATAATTCTGGGTTGGTGTCTCTTTTTTGTGCATGGATAGTGTCACTGCAGTAAATACAGTATTAATGGAGCAACCAGGCTCCTCTCTTGGCTAGCAGGCAGTCTGCCTGGCAGCTCCTCTGCGATGGCTTGTTTGGGGCAGGGTCTGCCTTCCTGGGCTTGCTTGATCCCTGGCACCATTGCGTTTTGCATCTTCCATGTCTTTTTGTGCTCCACCATTATAAGGTTCTCCACTGCTGCTTTCTGTACACTGTTTGGGAACTTCTCACTCTCAATAATGCCTTACTCTACATGTAGATCCGTATTTTTCACATACATACGTGGAAATGATCATATTGCAATCCAAGATGGCAATGGCAGCCTAAAATGATTTATATCTATTTACCAAGAAGAGTCTGCACCCAGCAAAATCCTGGCCATGTGGAAGTAAAGGGGCCAGGGTGTCACAGCTCTTCATCAGCGTGTCTCCTCTGTGAGGATGCATTTTTCTGGGAGAAGCTCACACTTCATAAAAATCCCCAAACAACTCAGTGGGACGTGGGGAATTCAAAGAAACAAAAGCAGAGTACTGTCCTCAAGTAGATGATTTACCTACTGTAACCAGACATCAAATTTAGCAATTTGTCTAATGCTTTTCAAATGTTTTATTTTCTTTGTCTAGAAGTGAAACAATTATCAAAGTAGTTAAGCAATAATAATAAAAATAACAACAACAATAATAATAATAATAGCAGCTGAATAAATTTGCAACAAAGGCCAGGAGAATATATTATTTTACAGTATTCAGTTATATAAACCATGCTATAGTCAGACTATCGAATAAAATAAACCAAACGGTGCCGTTCCTTGGGCATTGCTGGCACTGGAGCGTGGCCCTGCACCGGCCCCGCGCGGCGCGGAGCCGTCAGGATGTGCCCCTGGGGAAGCCAGCGGTGCTGCTGCTTGCTCGCCCTGTGCAAGTCGAGCTGCTTCAGCCTGGTCGTCCGTTCGCTTCTTGCACAACTCAGATGTCCCACTCACAGCTGAAGTAAAGAAACATTTTGAAAGTGCGGAGTGATGGCAGTGCACTTGAGAACAAACCTGAGAAAAGCGCTGCCTAAGCCAAGCTGCCGTTGTCTGGCACTGTGAGGCTGTGAGCGATAGTGCGTGAAAGAAAGAGAAATGCCCAAAGTGCCTGAAGTGTTAGAAAAGAACACTTGGGTGGGCTGTCCATCCTGCACAGCTGTGTCTACGTACCAAGTTAGTCCTCTGGTATTGCTGAACAGCAACTAACTGCAAATGATTAGAAATGCAATTACCTTTGATTATGGTATGCTGAATGACATCAGATCTTTTTTTTTACCTTTCTTGATCTTTCCAGAGACTTCTATCTATGATCAGTCACGTAGTCTGTGTTACTTTTTTTCCAGCTATGATCAGAACTACAGGAACGTTTTCAGTCTGAACAACTCCGCAGTGTGCTTTTCTTTTTAACCTTGCAAATGCATCTCTCTCTTATTTTGTACTGTTGCATTATGTGTGAGGTGGATTTGTCCTTCTTCCATTTTGGGACTAAACCTGGTTCCAATGTTGAGTGCAAGGAGTCATGCCATGCACTGGGCATTGCAAGCACTGGAAGTGAAAGGAGCAGCGGCCCATCTATGCCTGTTCTGCTCTGTGACAACTTCTGTGACAACCTTACTTACCTGTGAGCGGGTTCTGCAGCTTGTGCAGTAATTGGGGGTGCACAAACTCCACGTGGATGCTGTGTGAGCAGGTCAGGTTTGGAAGCGGCACAGCCACATTCCTGCAGTGTGGGGACTCCCAGGCCTCCCTGCTTGACAGGGGAGACACCCCCACTCTCTCTGGCAGCATTCCTTCATTCCTTAAGGGCCTATTGTAATCCTCACCCTGTAATTTAGATATGGCATGTGCTAGAAATGTTTTATTTTTTTTCCAGGTTATTTCTCTCCCTGATGACTGTGGGTGTTGACCGTACATACTACGTTTAAGATGAAATAGCTCTTACGATTGTGCCTTGCTCCAGAAGGAGGATGCCTGGTGTATTTACAGCAGTAATTTACTACCTTTCCATACTGTCCTTACAAAGCCTGGGCCAGGGAGAGTCCATCCACGTCCGAGGCAGCGTGGCCGCAAGCACCCCGTGTGCGGGGCTCGGAGTGTCCTCCCGCAGGGCCCCTCTCGCCCCACTGCCAGAAACCCGCACCGGGGCCCTCCAGCCGCCCGCTTGCAGGCCCTGGGGAGGCTGAGGGTGGTTTGCCCCCCCTTGATTTCGAACTCCGATCTTGAACTGGCCGCGCTCGTGGCGCTGCAAGCCGCCCGGCCGCCGGGAGCGCGGCGGGAAATGGCGGGAAGCGGGCGGGCAGCTCCCGTACCACCAGCTGCTCCCGTACCGGCTGCCACCAGCAAGGGGAGCTCCTCATTTGGGTAGGAACCGAGAGACCGGCGAGGTCCCGACCCCCCCGAGGCGGGAGAGGACGCTGTGTAATGGCAGTGTATCGATTGAGGGTTAAATCCTGCTGCGGCCTGGGAAGGAAAGGAGCAAGACCCCACAGGTGCCGCGGGCTCTGGGGTGACACTTGGGGTGCTTCTGAGTCCCTCAGATGCCAGTAGTAAGCATTTGCCCGTCTCTACTGAGGGAAAACGCTGGACATTTTAC